TGAAAGAATTTCCAACATTTACCTTAAATATCGGTGTCTGGTGAACTGCACCAAGCCTATCCCTTTATGATTAGCAATTACAGTATTTACTTAACTACACCACCCATCCAATACTATTCAAGGTGTATAGGAATGATTTCAAGAAAATTTCAATGCGTTTTATGGCACCCATACTCACAAAATATCCTCAACTGTTTTTTTTTTGTGTTTTTTTTTACATCACTGAAGAACTTCTTAAAATGAATCAGGTGTTAATAGTTTTTGATCAGATCATTCTGTAGATAAATATTCAAGAATTCCAATTTTGTCTTCATCCGACATGTATGAAAAAATCAATGCGTAGAGTGGGAAACGCCAACCAAAGTATTCCGCAGAATTCGATAGAAACTGTGGGAGTATAAGTGACAGTTACATTGTACTATTTCAACAGTAAACAAATGGCAGCTGGATACCAATCTAGTAGTATGCTTAAATTCATGCAGTCGGGGCACCAGGTTTTTTTACCAGGTAAAAAAAACTCTTCAAAGCAGTTGCTATGGTTTGTTTTTTTTTGTTTTTTGTTTTGTTTTTTTTTTGTAGAAAAAAATAGAGGGAAGCCACTTAACGTCGGTGAGAAAGTGACTGAAGTCGGTTTAACGAAATACCAACTCGTTGTGGGTCATTTTATGACGAATTTTTTTTTCTTGTGAGATTGGGAGTAATAAAAATATCATATATATCATTCGGCTTTTCCAGCTGAATACATCGGAGATACTCAGCTTTTACGTATGTACATGTTTGTGTGGACAATAACTACAGGTGGTGATATGTGTATTTAATGTTGTAGTTTTGTTGAAATCATATTTTGGATTACAATTTGTTTTAAGAAATGAGAAGACATATGGATTAATGACATGAAAGTGTTATTACATTTGCGTAGTTTGGTAGGTTTCGGATGCAGTAGCTACAGTTTTTTTAGTTTACGCATATTGCTGGTAATTTTACTATAAATGGGTATTGAGAGTCATTTTTTTATATAAAAATGTATTTTTATACTTTCATAATGTTTTGTTTTTGTTTGTGTGTTCACTATTTGCACATAACTGGAACCCTATCAGGTGCTACCACCACGGGTTAAGGTAGAACTGGGAACCACAGCTATTAAGTGGTGGTCCCACGATCCTTAAATCATCCAAACTCCCAATCAGATGCCTTGCTGCTGGAAATGATGGATGGAAGAAAAAACAGAGATATTAGAGGATAGAAAGTTTGCTATGTGAGCTACTTACTGGGGAAGACAAAATCAAGCAGATACAGAAGTTTAATCTAGTAATTTAGTAACAGATGACAAAAATGTGGCACAGAAATCCGAAGTTGCATAGGCATAGGGAAAGGGGTATTTCATAAAATAAGAAATGCATTAAGATATAGGAAAATGTCTTCAGAAAGAAAACAAGTGTTGAAGTTCTGTTTCGTGTTTAATGACTGTTAATGGTTTTCACGTAGACTAAGCGATAGAAATGTGAATCTAGGGACGGAGTATGGAGAAAAATATGAGAGTTGAAACAACGTTCTATGAAAATTAGAAGTTGAAGTTAATTTTTTTTTATAATCAGGAAAACAATAGGGTTTTAAATTTTGTATGATATCATGCGTAAAAAAGGCGTTAATGAAAATCCAGAGACGTCGAGAAAAAACGAATAATCTACTTGACGAATCTGCGTGAACGAATAGCAGAACAGGGTTCGAGACTGATGGTAGAGTTCACAGTTGCCTAGAGCAACAAACGACAGAAAGCTGTCCGGTAGCCATTATTACCCACATTCTAAAATCCAGACGGTTATTAGATGTAGATTGTCATCAGAACAAAATCTTTCTACCTCCATTTCTCTTTTGTCGGCCTTTGTTCGTACGCTGAAACGAGGTAGTTATTTATCACTACCACAATGGTCACTACCGAATGTGACAGAAGGTGGATGTTTAAAGTAGGTTTTAACGGCAATACCGTGCAAAAGTTGCCGAAGCCGGCTCGGCATTTCCCATTTAGTGAAAAGCCTCAGGATGAATATAGCGATCTAAGCGTAGCTAAGATGTGATACAAGGCTGATAGCATGGAGCATCTAATGCGGATCGATATCACAGTTCAGTCGCTAGGAAGACAAGCTTGTTAACCATTATCCGACTTCAAAGCGTCCACGCTGAAACGAGGAAGGTTGATTAAATGTCAGCATCTCTTTAATATCGTTTTTTGTCTAGAGTAGATAATGACCATCATGTTTTTTTTTATAATGTGCCAATATGATCTTCATTCTGTTTGTGTATATTGTCATCGAAATTCTTACAAAAAGAAATATAGCATCTTTTCAGCTACCAAAAATACGCATTCGTTAGAGATGTGTTTTTTTCTATTTCGTCCAATTGAGTATTTAATTATTTATTTTTATTAAGCTTTGCCAGAATATGCTTCCCTGTCAACCTTCACTCCATCCCACCCATCAACAACACGAAGGATGTCTTGAATAATGAAAAGCAAACATATAGTGGGATTAGTATCATGTTTCCCCGATTATTGCAATTGTGAGTAGAGATGGAAATGGAAAAGTCAAATCAAGCATCTGGGAAATTTTGTAGACTAAACAGAGAAGGTCAGTTTGAATTTCTGTAAACATCAAAATGTGCAGTAATGTTATTAGGGCCTACAAATGTGTCGAAGTTTACTTTCTAATAATATTTGTTTTTTTTGTATTGCCGACATTCCCGTAATATGATTCTATCTTTAACAGTCGACATTGTAGTGTCAACTGCATATCGACTTCTTTCTTCTTATCTTTATTTTTAGTTGGAATTGTTCCTTCTCTTGTTAAAGTATCATCCTGTTTTGTTTCTTCCGCTCTTGGGATTCTTTTCTTCTGTCTTTGCCATTCTTCTTCTCCTCAGCCATCTTCTTTTTTTCTCCTTCTTCTTCTTCTTCTTTTGATTTTTTTCTCTTGATTAATAATCTTATTCTGATTTCTTCATCTGTATTCATTTTACTTATTTTTTTTTCTTTTCTTCTTTCTTTCCCTTCATTTTTCGGTTTTTCCATCTTCTATCATTTTTCCCTTTCATCTTTTTTCTTTTTCTTCTTCTTCTTCTTCTTCTTCTTCTTCTTCCTTCTTCCCTTCTTCTTCTTGGTCTTCTTCTTCTTCTTCTTCTTCTTCTTCCTTCCTTCTTCTTCTTCTTCTTCTTCTTTTCTTCTTTCCTTCTTTTTTCTTCTTCTTTTCTTCTTCTTCTTCTTCTTCTTCTTCTTCTTCTTCTTCTTCTTCTTCTTCTTCTTCTTCTTCTTTTCTTCTTCTTCTTCTTCTTCTTCTTCTTCTTCTTCATCGTTCTTCTTCTTCTTCTTCTTCTTCTTCTTCTTCTTCTTCTTCTTCTTCTTCTTCTTCTTCTTCTTCTTCTTCTTCTTCTTCTTCTTCTTCTTCTTCTTCTTCTTCTTCTTCTTCTTCTTCTTCTTCTTCTTCTTCTTCTTCTTCTTCTTCTTCTTCTTCTTCTTCTTCTTCTTCTTCTTCTTCTTCTTCTTCTTCTTCTTCTTCTTCTTCTTCTTCTTCTTCTTCTTCTTCTTCTTCTTCTTCTTCTTCTTCTTCTTCTTCTTCTTCTTCTTCTTCTTCTTCTTCTTCTTCTTCTTCTTCTTCTTCTTCTTCTTCTTCTTCTTCTTCTTCTTCTTCTTCTTCTTCTTCTTCTTCTTCTTCTTCTTCTTCTTCTTCTTCTTCTTCTTCTTCTTCTTCTTCTTCTTCTTCTTCTTCTTCTTCTTCTTCTTCTTCTTCTTCTTCTTCTTCTTCTTCTTCTTCTTCTTCTTCTTCTTCTTCTTCTTCTTCTTCTTCTTCTTCTTCTTCTTCTTCTTCTTCTTCTTCTTCTTCTTCTTCTTCTTCTTCTTCTTCTTCTTCTTCTTCTTCTTCTTCTTCTTCTTCTTCTTCTTCTTCTTCTTCTTCTTCTTCTTCTTCTTCTTCTTCTTCTTCTTCTTCTTCTTCTTCTTCTTCTTCTTCTTCTTCTTCTTCTTCTTCTTCTTCTTCTTCTTCTTCTTCTTTTCTTCTTCTTCTTTCTTCTTCTTCTTCTTCTTCTTCTTCTTCTTCTTCTTCTTCTTCTTCTTCTTCTTCTTCTTCTTCTTCTTCTTCTTCTTCTTCTTCTTCTTCTTCTTCTTCTTCTTCTTCTTCTTCTTCTTCTTCTTCTTCTTCTTCTTCTTCTTCTTCTTCTTCTTCTTCTTCTTCTTCTTCTTCTTCTTCTTCTTCTTCTTCTTCTTCTTCTTCTTCTTCTTCTTCTTCTTCTTCTTCTTCTTCTTCTTCTTCTTCTTCTTCTTCTTCTTCTTCTTCTTCTTCTTCTTCTTCTTCTTCTTCTTCTTCTTCTTCTTCTTCTTCTTCTTCTTCTTCTTCTTCTTCTTCTTCTTCTTCTTCTTCTTCTTCTTCTTCTTCTTCTTCTTCTTCTTCTTCTTCTTCTTCTTCTTCTTCTTCTTCTTCTTCTTCTTCTTCTTCTTCTTCTTCTTCTTCTTCTTCTTCTTCTTCTTCTTCTTCTTCTTCTTCTTCTTCTTCTTCTTCTTCTTCTTCTTCTTCTTCTTCTTCTTCTTCTTCTTCTTCTTCTTCTTCTTCTTCTTCTTCTTCTTCTTCTTCTTCTTCTTCTTCTTCCGCCAACCATTAATATAAACTCATTTTTTCTAAGTTTTCTCCTTTTTCCCCCAATTTCGATTTTATTAAAAAAATTAATTTTTATTTTTCCTCTGATTTTCAGTTTACCTTATACTGCTGCTCCATGTCTCCTTCCCTCATTTCTTGACTCCTCCATCCGTCACAAGTGTCTCCCCTTCTTCCTATATCAAACACTTTCCTCCCTTAATCTCTTTCAGAAGTTTTCCATTTCTTTGTATTGATCCTTCATGCCTTCTCTTGATTCCTTCATTTAACATACCTGAGCTCTTCGATCTTCTTCCTATCTCCCGTACATTCGTTTATTTTTTCCTTCTATTTCGGAATGTTTCCTTTTTCCTTCTGTTTTTTATGACTCCTTCCGTCTTTTCTATGATTTTTCATATTTTCAAACTGCGTCTTGTTGCCGTCTATTCTATCAATATCGCTTTCTCCTTCTTCTTGTACTTGGTTTTAAACTGTTACAAGCTCGGCTTTTAATTTTTCTTGTTACTCCAGTGACACCAACAATGTTTTCTCGCAGGGCACTATCTTATTACATCGTTATCATTTCATGTTTCTCACCTATTTTTTCAACTCCTCCATCCACTAATGATCTTCTTTCTTTGATTTACTTTTGAAAACCATACTTGTCTTTCATTGATCTTCTCTGTCTATTTTTGTACTTTATCATTTTCCCTTCTGTTAATATTTTTATTCGTTAGTAATATACTTCTTTGATGATCAATCATTTCTCTTCGATTCCACCTGCTCCATTTTCTCATATCCAGCACTATTTATACTAATACTACTAATAAAATAATGTTATGCATTACGTTCAGCTTCTAATTTGGGGCGCGGAAAGTTATTATAAATAGAACAGAAATACTCATGCCACTATTCTCAGGTGGTTTTGACTTCAGATCTTTCAAAAGCAAACGTCCATTTCGATTATAGTTTTGAGAAGGTTTGCTGATTTTTCTGCTTGACAGTCTCCTGAAGTGTTTGAACCTGCGTCCCACTTTGTAGGCCGACCTGGGTATGACAATAAACTACATCCACGTCCTGCGCATGACTATAAACTATATCCGCGTCCTGGGTATGACGATAAACTACATCCAGGTCCTGCCCATGACTATAAACTACATCCGCGTCCTGGGTATGACGATAAACTACATCCGCGTCCTGGGTATGTGTTATGGAGTGTTTTTTCACAGTGGAGGCTTGTATTTGTACTAAGTCGGTCCTGAAATATGTTCGACGTACAAAACGTTAGGAACTTCATATAATAGGTATGACGCAGAGTAATCTGGTTGTGGTCGCTGATACTTTAGTAGCCGACTAACGGTCGTCCGGCATATACTGAGCGACCGACCCACTGAGTGACCCCTCGTTACTGTTACTCCTCCTACTTATTATATGTGGGAGAGTCTATTAACTATAGAATAGGTGTGTTCCACTATAGCATGACGATAAACTACATCCACGTCCTGGGTAAAATGAAAAACTATATCCAACAGCAAGGCTCCTGTTCAGGAATTTTTGAGGAGCGTGGAACCACCTCTTAATTGCTGGTGTTCCCAGGTTCACTCTAAGCCAGAGTGGTAGTACTTGTTAGGGTCCAAACCATGGGCAAATAATCAACCCCCAATTTGACGTCAAAACACTATGAAAGTGCAAAAATCGGTTTTAATACAAGCAATTATTTTTTGAGAAAAAAATATGACAAGCAATACATTTTTGAAGAAATAAAATTTTACCAGCACTACATTTTAGAAGGAAAAATATTAACAGCAATACATTTTTGTAAATAAATATTACAGCAATACATTTTTGAAGAAAAAAATATTACCAGCAATACAATTTTGAGAAGTGTTAACAGCAATAAAAATCTTGTCGGTATTAAATAACCCACTGAGGTGTTGATATGACGTAAAACAAATGAAACTAAACCAAACAAAGGTCACTTTCTAGGAGAAACCATCGTTTGATCCGGTGTGCCCTAGACTGCCCGGCTACAGAGATCATCGAGCAAGAATCTATTTTCCTCTATTTTTATCATACAAGGTGGTGGTTTTTTGGGGGGAGCACAAGTTCGAATCCTGCTAAGGAGTACCTTCTCGTTATTAAGATTTCTCTAATGCGAATGCCGATCGGTGTAATAAACTCTATTTAAAAATAATAAAAAAAAAAAAAACATCTGGGCGTCATTTTCAACCACGGGTATCTACTAGAAATATCGTTTGAAGTAATAAAAATGTCGGTTTCAAAACAATTTATATATATATATATATATATATATATATATATATATATATATATATATATACTAGCAGCATGGCCAGGTGAAGCCTGTGCTTGATTCAAAAATCGTAAGATGCTATCACTTGACTTAAAATATTTTTTTGCCCTTCCTTGCCTTTAAAGGTGTGTCCTTTGTCGTGCTGATGTTGCTACATGCCTTACTTCTTGCCTATCTCACACTGTGAATTTTTCTAAGCTCTATACTAAACATTAAATCTGTTACGAAAAAAGAACCAAACAAAATGAACACAAAACGATCAGCTTTAAAAAAGGACTCGTAACTGGAAAAACCGAATGAAAAAAAATGTTAACAAATACTTTTTCACACCCAACCCAGTTCTGCGGAATCAGAATCAACGTTGAGTTTAAGCAAGCGAATGAGCCAATTGGAATAAAGTGCCATGCAGATTTAATTTTTTACCACTTGTGACGAATGCAGCTATCGATTTTTTTTTTGCATGCTAGCATCTAGTCAACATTCGTGTCAGTCAGCTGTTGGCTCTCCCACTGACCAATAGAATCCTCCTGCCTATTCGTGGCAGCCAACTATAGGCTCTCACACTGGCCAGTAGAAAAAGGTCGCAAACTACATGAAAAGTGCAGTAGAAGCATGAAAAAATCGATTATTTCCATTATCGATGGGAGTTGAGAAATGCAAAGTCGGTCTTGGCCTTCCCGCTAACTTGGAGCATGTGCATGTAAATTTTGGTGCAAATCCGTCGAAAATTGCGGCCGTGAATTCGTCACACACAAACATCCTGCCTTTTATAGATAGAGATACGCACACACACATACACGCACGTTCCTATTAACTATATTTCTACTCTCCTAGCCGTGTCTATCGCATTCCTTTCTTTTTGTAACTACCTTCTCTCTCTCTCTCTCTCTCTCTCTCTCTCTTTCTGTGTTTGTGTGTGTGCACGCGTGTACGCTCGTGTGTGTGCGCGCGCACGCTCGTATGTGTGGTGACTTCTTGTGTACATGTTCCATTCAATGTTGCCTTTTTGATACGACATTTTCATATTTTTTTTATATTCTTTATTTATTAATTTCCTTTTACTCGTTCTTATGAGTTTTGTTACTGGAATATTGGATCATGCTTTTTTTTATTTAGTTTATTTGGCGTCTTTTTCTTTCCTTAGTAACGTTCACAAACAATTTTCGTCACCTCATTCTCGTCACTTAACATTTTCATTCTTTCTTTGCTTCCCATTTCTCTTAATTCAAAAAAATATATATATATATCTAGAAATTCTTTTTGTTTCCTGTCCGATTTCCAATAATTCTCTTTCGTTGCTTCTTTTCTTCTTTGTCTCTTCCTTACATATTTGGGATTTCATGCACACCGACAGTTCCCAATTTATAAGTGTTTATCTAAAACATGATAATAGCAAAAACAACAAAAAAGAAGAAGAAAGCGAAAAGATGACCCCCTCAGGATATCATTTTTTGTGTTTAAACAACAGAAGTCGATTATCTCAAAAATGAATCCGAAATTCCACGCTTCAGCAGTTACCAATCATGCCGAACTGATTTAATATCTTTCTAAACAAAGTTATCATCATCTTATACGCTCTGTTTCAAATAACTGTTTTTTATTTTATTTTTTTATTTTATTTTTTTATTTTTCCTGATCCATCTCACAATTTCCTGAGCCAGTCTCATTTTCCAGCAATCAGCCTCCAGAATTCCACCGATATTGGCATTAGAATTCATAGTTTCTTTGGACGAAAAGAATCAACGAGATTTGATATAAGAAATCTTTGGCGATTACAATTTATTGAAATAAAATTGGAGACAAATGGCAATAGACGAATTACAAATTATTCTTGCTCAAAATCAGATTAATTTTCTTTTGTTTTAATATCTTTCTTTTTTTTTTAAATTGTTTGACCGAGACCTTGAGATGGCCTGTTATAACATTTGGTATTTATTTCATTCATTCGCTACATTTCTGTTGGAGCATATCCCGGCCATCTCTCAATTAAGGCTTTTCTGGTGAAAACCAAATCTATAGAGAAAAACCAACAGATGTGATCTGAAGAACAACAGCATATAATTGAATCACTTATTCTTAAATTGTCGACCATAAATGATGCTGCTTTGTAAGCAGTAGTTTAGGAAATAAATAAGGAAGGTGTTAGATGAGCATGTGTTACGCTAACATAAATTACGTTTCCTCTCAATATCCCAGCATTCCAATTGCATAAATAGCTTTATTAATTTAATTTTGAAATACTTGACATCATTTACTTCCAAAAAGGCTAAGAATTTGATATAAATTGGGAACTGATGCTCAACCCCATGACCCAAATATAGAACTCTCGTCACCGACCATCGACTTATAGGACACAGAGTGGTTTTTGAAAATATTTACAGGAAAAATGCGATTATAAGCTGGAAAAATACGGCAGTGGAAAACATGCCTATATTGATCTCATACTAGAAATCTTAAAACTTGTTAAACCATTGTTTTTTATTTTTATCAACGAACATAATTTATATTGTGCGCATGTTTACATCATATTGCTTCAGTAAAAACGAGATTTCCCCATTTCTGAACGTTATGTATTTGCTTGCCTGTAACATTTTCCGCACTTATTCTAAAAGATTTTGTTTTGATGATTTCCATATCTCTATCTCTGAAGCATGCTTCTTTTAGATAACATATTGTAATTTATGCTATTAGAGCTGCACATGTTTACGCGTTTTATATTTTTTCAATTCATCAGCCATTAATATCTTATCATTTTTGTCTTATTTTTAAACCTTTTTTTTCTCTGTCAATATTTTTTGCTCTATTCTCATCTCTTATCTTACTTGGAAGGTTTAGTTACTATAATTTGCAAATAGGTAACATTTAATTAAAAACATTTAATTTCTGCATATTTTAAGTTATTAATTTCCGTCATATTTACTGATTACTTGTTATATAATAGTCGATACAAACTAACATTTTGTGCATGCATTTTATTGTGTGTTTTTATTTTGTCATTGTTTTCTTTATTTTGTTCATTTCTCTCTGTTTAATTTTCTGTTTCTCTAGGGCGGAATTTTTTGGGGGGCGGGGGGTGTCCATTTACAAACTCATTTCTTCCTTTCTATAGGAATAGATGTTTGAAAGAATCAGTATATATTTTAGACACTGAAAACCTACTCAGTAGACTTAGCGTAGATATATCATCTGTGAGTTTCTGATTACAAAAGAAGGGAAATAGCATCACCTTCATCAAGATATTCATTCACTTCCTTGACCTGAGTACGGATATTAGATTTAAAGCTGTAAAATTTCGCAGACCTTCCAAGCTCTTCACAATGTTCCAAGCTTGCCAATACTGATGGGACTAAACAGTGATGAGATTCGTTTATTTTCTTAGGAAGGGTTTTCTTTTTCATGGCAGGTTTTACCATTAAGTTAGAAACCGATTCTTTTTTTATAACATTACATTAGTGCCAATGTATATAAAATCTTTTTGCTATTTAACAAACTGTTCGTGCGTAGCATTTCGAAATCGCTGAATCCCATAACATGGTATAATTTACACTTTTCCATTTCACAATTTTTCTGTTCTCTTGGAAAAATTGGATATGTTTCGAGCTTTTCACATACTTTCTATTTTAATATCTGTCTAGTTATCTTTGAGATGAGGTATTATGGTTACTTACATTATTCGGACTGTTATCCTCGTCTTCATTGCCATATTGACAACGTTTCGGCCGGTGTACGCTTCGGTCTTATTTCCCTTTTAACTCAACTCCCCAAGTTTTTGTTTCATCACTGTTGTGGCCTGGTATTGAACTCACAACTCTCAGGGTGTAGTCACTTGATCTAACCAACTTCTTTATCCACTGATCCATGTGTCTCTAAAGAAAAGAAAAAGGGAAATAACTAATACATTAGGAAGAAGCATGGCACGTGGAACTAGAACAATCTACCACAGTGGACTAAATAAAGAGTTCGGTTCGAAATTCCAATCACCTGAAGAAGACCGGAGCGTAAAACGGCCGAAACGCTGTGAATATGGCAATGAATATGTGGACAATAGTCCAAATAATGTAAATAATGTAAATATTTCGAGTTTTTCACAGACTTTCAATTTTACTCAGCAGGAAAATGAACAGCCACTATTCGACTAAATTGTGTTTAAGAAATACAAGATATCTTTTTTTTCTTTCTTGGGGTGAATGTTCTCTTTACTTTTAATTGTTCCAGAGAGTTTCATAATCTTATTCTAGAGGAAAGATTTTGCGCTGTTCAGGATCAAATCATTGTTTGTTTAATTTTAATTGCTTCACTCCAAGTAAGACAATAATGTCACTAAGATGGAAGATTTTACTTAGAGGAAAACAAATTGAGCAAAATTTAGTGAGTATAAAAAAAAACTGAACAGATTTCAGGAAGACAGAAGATTTACATAATTGCATTTAAATATAATTGACAGGAAAGCAAACGCCGGAAAAGATTTTCCTCAGGAGAGAAGTGCGTGAAGATAAATTATGAGTGAGGAAATTACTGATACATCAGGTTATTTAAACAGTAATATTATAAGACCCAGTTACGCATCTAGTACTGCGCTTAAATCCATACTAAGGAAGAAATTTAATTAGAATAATTGCCATGGAAATATTTAGTGAAAAGACACAGAGAAGCTACGGTGAAGGGTTTGGAAGTTGATTGAAGCCAACATGTCAGATCAGAACCGATAACAAAACAAGCCATTATCTTGAATTTATCAATAAAATTTAAGTACATAACCAGATTAGATGTATGAGCAACATTCAATCTATGAACGAATGATTATTTTTTTAAAGTGTAATGTAGATTCTGGCGAAGAAAATTGTCTAGCACGACACAGTGAATCAACTTTCCTAGCAACACACCTAGCAATTGATTCAATATAATCGTTCAACATCATGTCAGTGGAAAACGTGAGACTGAGAAGCCGAAATGAATTGCCATGCTGGAGGTTAGTATCAGCCATGCTGGAGGTTAGTATCAGCCATGCTGATGGAAGGCAAAAATGATTCTCTTTGTTTTGGAGGCGTTAAAAGTTTTTAAATTAATTTAACGCTAAATATCGCGGAAATGAGGGATGAACGACATAATAAATAAGTAATAAATTTATTCAGGGAGGTGTGATCTTTTGCTAATCTAGATAAAGATAGCACTCTTAGGGTAACATGAATATTTTTTTTAATATTTTTAAACAATAATAAATCTATAATTCCCCAAATGCATAGCCTAGGTAACCCTCAAGTTAGAAGGTTAGCAAATACAGCTTGTGATATCAAGAGAGAGAATAGTGATTAGCTTGAGATGTTGGCTGTCTGGGATAGTGATTTTATGGTGGCAAGTAATTCGTCACCCACAATGCCGTGTAAGCTATTTTGATGTCTACCAATGCTAGAAACAGAAATGTGAGGATCTCCAACCCAGATATGACAACATTACCCCATTTAAGTATGGCGTCTGATTTGACACTCATTTAGAACCTTCATGATAGATTAAAAGATTTTCTAGAGTGAAGAGGCAAAAGGAGACGATCATTTCCCAGCACCAATGTTTACCGATGGATCGTATGTATGAGTGATGCAAATTAGAATTTCTCCAGAGGTTTAATCGTTGATTCTAATACATATTAATAAATCTACTATAATGATCTGCATAACAGCGATGAAAAGTAACTGAAATTAAGATGCAATATATATTAGCCTATAGTATTGAGATAAAGTATTGTAATTATTCATAACGTTTATTTAAACGTATATATATATATATATATATATATATATATATATATATATATATATATATATACGTGTAATTTATTGGGGTTGTTGTAACGTCTTCCTTTAATGTAGTTCTTACCGTTCACCCCTTAGCCACATTATCTAGAGACGAGACGCGTTAAATTTGAGCAACATCCAGCCGACACACTGGGGTTAAAATAGGAAACTATAATGATACATATGACGAACTCATATCCTCTCTCCCACCTCACTTGCTCACTTCGTTAACTTTGCGTATACTTGATTAGGTCCGTAAAAAACATGTTAAAGGGGTTATGGTGAAATAGCTTATTACATGGAATCTTAACGTGGTCCGTTTTTTATTCAAACAAATATATATATATATATATATATATATATATATATATATATATATATATATATACAGACTTTCATATTGACTATCTTACTACCCTCCTAGTTGTGTCTCTCGCATTCCTTTCTTTTTGTAACTACATTCATTTCTCTCTATCTATCTCTCTCTCTCTCTCTCTCTCTCTCTCTCTCTCTCTGTGTGTGTGTGTGTGTGTGTGTGTGTGTGTGTGTGTGTGAAGTGTAATTTTTACACGATTTACATTTTCGGACTGTTGTCCCCATATGTGTTGGCATATTCACGACGTTTCAGCTATTGTGCGCTCATTGCAATCACCTGAAGAAGACAGGGCCTACAACGGCCGAAATGTCGCGAATATATCAAAGAAGATGAGGACAACAGTCAGAACGATGTACATAGTGTATATGAAATAGATATTAGTATAAAAAAAAAATAGTTTGCTCTCGATGTGAAGTCGAGCAGGACGTTTCATAAATTCTTCCCAATAACGAGTTGTCTTCACTAGCTGCTCCCCAAACTCTTCGGTAAATTATTGATGCAGATATTGTTATTCTATGTTCTCTTTCAAATCTATTTTCTTTTAGCCTTCAGCGTTGCAAAAGCAGCGTTCTTGTAAAGAAAGTAGCAACATTAGCTGTTGCGTCTTAGCAGAAGATCTATACACGCACCTTCCGTTGCCTTGTCAAAAAAAAACCATTCTTGAGATATCACCGTTGACGCGGATCCTGTCTGTACGAGCAGGCCGACTAAGAGCACCTTCCGATAATCAATGACATTCAATACAAGACAGGGCATTCATTGGAAGGAAAATCGATTTTTTGCAAAGAGGTTTTACGGAAGCTGTCTTCTGTGATTCAACGTCAATGTATAATCTTCAGCATTTGGCAGATAAACAAGTAGGATTCGAAACAGAATTACCAAGGAACGACTATTCACATTATTTTTTTTTTTTTTTTTCTTCTTACTTTTTTTTTCTTTTTAGTTTTCTTTTTTTTTATTTGCAGGTGTCAGTTGTTGTTCCTTCTTCAGGAGAGGTTGATTTTTTATGACTTAGTTTTCAGTTCATTCAAAAGAGAAATTACTCTAGACCTGAAATATGCTGACGACTTACCAATGCATTTTTGTATCATTTATCGCTCCAAATATATGGAGGAAAATCCATATCTAATATAGTATTACGTGCCATGTCACTTCAAGGCTCTCCACTACTTCGCATCTTTTTTAACTCTTAACAAATGTTGTCATTTTAATATCCCTACCGGCACTTCTGCTATACATTTACAAAAATGTATCAGGTTTTTCATTTGATGTTTTTATTAAATCATTTCAATAAACAAAAAAAGGAGATAATGCCGTTTAGACGTAAAACATTATTCCGAATAGAAAAGAATGAGAAACTTTTAGAAGGAATCGGAAACTCAATCCTAACCAAGAAACAAGGAAAAAAAACCTCTACTTCTGTTCAAAAGAAGGAGAATCATTGCAAACTGGGTTATAGGCGAACCTATCCTCAGTAGAATCTCTCATATCTGGAATCCCCCATATCCGGAGTACCTCATATCCGGAGTCCCTCATATCCGGAGTACCTCATATCCGAAATCCCTCATATCCGGAGTACCTCATATCCGGAATCCCTCATATCCGGAGTACCTCATATCCGGAATCCCTCATATCCGGAGTACCTCATATCCGAAATCCTGCATATCTGGACATGATTTTGATGTGTATATTTGAAACTATTTGGGTGATATGTAACTGATTTGAAATTGCCCTTTTTCAGGAAATTTATTTTGGATAATTGGTTTGTATTGGTGCAAAATATGATAAGAATAGGAGGAAAGGATGATAACGGGCCACATCTGCAATAAGATAGCGTTGAGGTTCATGATTGTGATGAAACCTGAACTGAAATTGTAAAAGCTATTGAAAAGGTTGTCAGTTTTATGGAAAGAAAGCTAGCATTCAGCTATGACGATTGCAGTAACGCACGCAGAGTTAAAAAATGTCTTGCGTTTAAAAAATTTCAAAGAACAAAATGAAATGCGGAAAAGGTTGTGAATAATATTAGAAGAGAAAGAATCATCATGCAACAGCGATTACAAAATCCTCGTTATATTATTTGTTTTGCATTCGTGGCATACTTTATTTAATGAATTTTCATTAACATTACATAATTTATTTCTTTTTCCTTAAAATAAAGTCATTTATATTTCATACACCATTAGCTATATTTTTTACTGTGAAACATTGAAAATAAATGATTTTAGTTCTTTTATTTTAATCTAAATATAACTCCTCATATCCGGATAATGTAACCAATTCTTCATATCTGGAAGACCTTCTTAGTCTGGTTGTCAGGGATTCTACTGTACGTCTATTGAATAATAAAGAAATATAGGAAAATTAGGTAAAAGATTATTTCTTTTTAAAATATTAAATAAAACTTCGGAGTTAGTCGAAGACGTTAGAAGTATAGATTTAAACTAAGAGAAAATGGATTTCAAGTGCATGTATTCAGGTAGAGACAGTAAATTACGTGTCGGCTGCCTCTTAATGGAATTTAACTACTTATTTAGATTTTACCTTGAATATGACCAATATGTCCCAAAGATAAACCATCTTTTCGTATTATGCGATATCAAATATTTCTGATTATAGGTACGTCTTCCTTTTGTTCTGTTTTTGTTTAAAACTTCCTTTTCGCTCCTATGTTCTAACCATGGTATTCTCAGCATCATTTTGCAGAAAAACAACTCTACTGCTTGAAGTCACACCCTATCTGTGAGGAAATTTCCCTTAATTTATTAAATAAGATTTGCTCGTAGGATAACATATTCTGTTGTCACAACATAAAAATGAAAATCAGAAAATAGCTAGTTGCGTTTGCATCAGGGTTCTGGGTTACTATCAAAGTCTCGGGACATGGTTGATCATTTAGTTTCAGAGTTAAGCTGCAATGAACCTGGCCTTGATTGATAAGGGTGAACTTTTGGGATTGCCACATACTGTAAGCTGATAGAGAAACTCACTAATCAATAAACTGTTATGAGTACGATTTTTTTTTTTAAATATATTTTTAAATATGAATTGTTCGGATACTTTCAACTTTGAGATAAGCAGCTTAACCATTATTTCAGCACTTTGAATCACCTTTTCAAAAATATTTCATATTGGTTCATCTTCAATTCCACTTTTGCGAACATCGACATCTCTGCTAAAGATAGACTGAGCTGAATTTTAAATTATCATTTTCATTATTACTTACGTATAACGAGAGAATACCAACTAATTCTGATCCATTTAGTTTCGTACCTTGAAAAGAGTTCGTAGGCGATTATGGCTCTTCACTGCTTGCCAAGGATTTTTTAATCCTTTATCGCTTTATGGGGAAATATCCATATGTAATATACTTTTATATACCATATCACTTAAGGACATAGGCGATCATGGCTCTCCACTACAGACTAGGAAATATTTTTTGTCATTTACCGCACAAAACATTCTGCTGCGTTTCGTTCCGTACCTAAGAAATGACAGGAATTCATCTCATCTAATCTTCTATCACAATGACCACAGACAGGATGGAAGTGTCATTGTGTAGTCAACAAACACTTCATAAGTTATATAGTAAGTTAATCACCAGGGCTATAGACAGATTTTAATTCACTTTTGATATATCCTAGACTGTTTGCCGAGCATGACGAGAGAACCCAATCAGCTCTGCTATTTAACCCACAGATGGGGAGAGAACAGATAGATTCATACTTTTGCCGAGGGTATTTGTACAAAGTTGAACATAACGGGAATTTGAAAGCAGTTCTGAGACTTCTCGTTTCGAGACCCACTCAGCATTCCATCATCTGCACATTTTTATATAAGCTATAGCTAAAGAGAAGGGTTGACTGGTTAAATACTAGAGCAAACTGGTCTTCTTACGCTTACTGGACAGCCTGACAAAGGATACTTTTATTTAAAACCTGTAAAGAAGGCAAGCGGAAACAATTCCAGAGTCTTGACAAGAAATTATGGCAATTGATAGATTTCAAGAAAAGAAATTTGTGTAGAGCCATGATCACCTACTTCCTGAAGAAAAACGGAATCATATTAAAAATATCAGTACTAGCAGTGATCATATTATTTTCTCAAATATATGACAAGTTACCATAAATTTGTACTGGTATTTTTGAATAGAAATATTTTCGCTGGGGTACAATTTTTTCTATTAGTGTCATAAAAGCATTAAAAAAATTCATAACAAAAAAGAGCCGGTAATAAAAATACATTACCGCAAAATGGTAATAATGAAATATAACAAAAACAAGAACAACCCCCCCAGCTAAACAGATTTCGTTATTCGTTGTTACATACACTGGATCCGACGCTAGTTTCCCCTACAAAAGGTGGGACGCAGGTTTTATCCCTGCGAGACAGCACATTTCTTTCGTATGCTCAGGTGAGTTGACCTACTTCACCCCGCTGAAAAAAAAAACGAGGCGTCTACTGAAATATGTGTAATCATTAAAATAATGTTTAGCATCATAAAAATTATTGTCAGATTAATAATTAAATCCATTAATTCCTTATATATATATATATATATATATATATATATATAAAATAATATAAATATAAAAATAGAAATAGAAATTTAAACGTTATATTAAGTGGATACCCATATTTGGGTAGACACTCCGTTTATTGTTTTTAAACAGTATATTAATTTTCATCAACCGGCCTGAATATTAGAGAAAAGCTAGTAAAGAAAAAATATGCACTGCGGCTGGATTCGAATATTCGCAATCTCCCTGCAAGAGAAACTCTCGTTATACCGGACTTTTTTCTAACCGATTCGACCACGAAGTCTGTCATCGATTTGTCTGGGTTCTATACTGCCATTTAAGCACTTCCTTCTCGTTTAGATTCACGAACGTTAATGGCTGCATAGTTTCGTATCCGAAAATATAGGAAGCTACTAAAAATAAAGTCTACAGTGATACAAATATGTCGGATTAATAAATGTATTATTTCTTACTTATTTAGAATTTACATTATATATACATTACATTATTATTTCTTACTTATTTAGAATTTACATTTTTTTTATGTTTATACATTCTTTTTATGGATAAAGATATTTGAGTAAATGCTCTGTATATAATAAACAGTATTAATAATATTTACCGGCCTCAATTTCCGAGAAATTTTCATAGGAAATATTCGTTCTCCTACAGTCACGTTGTTTAGACACGTCAGGTTAAAGCACATCAGGCTATATGACGGTTCCGTAGGTTACAGGTTCGATTCCTGGCGGATGAATATTTTCTATGAAAATTTCTCGGACATAATCATAAACAGAACATTTACTTAAATATTTGTATCTATAAAAAGAATGTATGAACATAAAATGACTTAAAATAATTGTCGGACTTTGTCCATTTCATAATGTGTGACTTCCTTTGTTTCCATTTTGATACGCTTTGAGTAGATATGAATGTACGTGAGAGATTGCTGGAAGATTGTAGTTAAAAAGCAGTAAAATCGACCTTGCTAATCGGACGATCTTCTGTGGCTCAATCGGTTAATGTACGTCAGGCTATACAACGGTTCCGTATAGGATACAGGTTCGATTCCTGTCGGAAAACGAATATTTTCTATGAAAATTTCTCGGAAATTCAGGCCGGTAAATGTTATTAATACTGTTTATTATAAACAGAGCATTTACTTAAATATTTGTATCTATAAAAAGAATGTATAAACATAAAAATGTCTTAAT